CGACGGGATACTACTTCGACGACAGATCGAAGCAACATCCCAATGGCCAAGGCCATCGGCAAAAAATATGAGTTCGACCTCGTTCGAACTACGACGGGATCCTACTTCAACGACAGATCGAAGCAATATCCCAATGGCCAAGGCCATCGACGACAATATAGGTTCGACCTCGTTCGAACTACGACGGGATCCTACTTCGACGACAGATCAAAGAAACATCCCAATGGCCAAGGTCATCGATAAAAATATAGGTTCGACCTCGTTCGAACTACGACGGGATCCTACTTTGACGACAAATCGAAGCAACATCCTAATGGCCAAGGCCATCGACGACAATATAGGTTCGACCTCGTTCGAACTACGACGGGATCCTACTTTGACGACAAATCGAAGCAACATCCTAATGGCCAAGGCCATCGACGACAATATAGGTTCGACCTCGCTTGAACTACGAAGGGATTCTACTTCGATGATAGTTCAAAGCAAGATCCCAATAGCCAAGGCCATCGACGACAATATAGGTTCGACCTCGTTCGAACTACGACGGGATTCTACTTTGACGACAGTTCGAAGCAACATCCCAATGGCCAAGGCCATCGACGACAATATAGGTTCAACCTCGTTCGGACTACGATGGGATTCTACTTCGAGGACAGTTCGAAGCAACATCCCAATGGCCAAGGCCATCGACAAAAATATATGTCCGACCTCGTTCGAACTACGACGGGATCCCTCTTCGACGACAGTTCGAAGAAACATCCTGATAGCCAAGGGTGTCAATAATATCATGGGTTCGATAAATGCAAGAAAGAACAAGTCGATAAAGTAAATTTTACATTACAGCAAAATATTATTTACACTTACCCCTACAAACGGGCTCAAGGATGCCCCGTGCAAAAAACCCTAAACAAAAGCAAGTACAAACAAAAACTACACATCATCCTCAGTGGGGTAAGCATCTTCGTACCACGAATCTGAAGCAAGGCGGTTCGCATCATCAGAGTTGATATCATCCCCGTCAGGTGTGAGAGGGTCGTACCCCGTATGCCTCACGAGCTGCACGAGCCTCAGCGTGCACAGCCTGAACCTCCGCCTTAGTAGCCCGTCCCTCGACATGAAAAGCCTTCTACACATCAAGTCGAGCCTCCGCGTGGACCCACAACTCGTATAAACTATGGGACACGACTGGATCGGCTGAGGCACGAGACATAGAAGGCTGAGAATGTCGATTCACATCCTCCGCCCTCAGTGAGGCCATTTGTCCATTTAGTGCAACCAGCTCCGCCTCCAGCTCATTAACACGACCTACGAGCCCTGATAACCTGACGACCAGAGGCTTCCTTCTCTTCAGTCAACTCCGACCTAGAAATACGGAGGGCATCTTCCAAAGATACCGATTCAGAAATAGCTGCCGCCAATTTATCAGTGTCGACGCTCATCTCGCCCTTAAGCCCCTCTACCTTTGTTGCTTTCGTATTCAGCTCAACGGTCAAATCGGCCACCTTTGCCTACAAGTTGGCATTTTCGGCTATCACCCCCTACTCAACTCAAGCTCGTCGTCCTTCACTTTGAGGGAAGCCTCGAGCTCGCTATTACGAGTGACAGTTTTCATGAGTTGCTCATCCCGCTCCCTTAACTCTTCAATATTACGCTCTAATTGGTCCTCCCGCTGTTTGAGCCCCTCGCGAAACAACTGAAACTCGGGGTCTTGATGATAAATGTCAGCCATCGCCCGATGCTTAGCACGATAATGCTGATATTTGGATGACATTTTCTCATAAAGGCACGTCCTTCTCCTCTCTCGACGCTCTCTCTCAACCTCTATGACGAGGGTCTGACAAAAAAGAGAAGGGCAGAAGTTAGAAATAAAATACAGAACGACGATTACAGCACAAACCCAATGACGAAAAGGGAAGGAAAGGCACCTACCTGCAGGGCCATACCAACGACCTTCTGAGACAACTCCACGTCACTCATCGCCCTAAGCGTCTCGCTTTCAGGAGCGGCACATAGAGGAGCTAGGGCTGACGCCACTTGCTCGTTGTTCAGCAGCAAGTTGTAGTCCCCCGGAACGACCACATGACGGTCAGATCCGTCCATCCTAACCTCCACAAGGGTATGGCGACCCACGAACTCATTAACATCCTCTGTGTCGATATTCGAACTTGAGCCGCCACCCTCAACACGATGCCCTCCAACGTTGGACAACGCACCACCCTCAATAGAGCACACTGAACCAGCTCCTGGGCAAACTCCTTCCACTTGGGGAGATCTCCCCGACAAAATGGTGTCGGCCATGAATACGGGCACAGGGACTGTTCGGGATGCCCTGCTTCTATCAGCGTCCATAGCCACGCCCTTCCCAAGCTCCAGCCTCCTTCTTTTCCTCGACAACGACTCGTGCCCGTTAGAGGATTCATCCAAAGGATGTGAGGCCGGTACCGAAGAAGCCTCTTCCCTCGCGGCCACGACTCGAGACAGATCTCCCAATTGAATAGGTTGAGGACGACCCTCTTGAATAGACTCACTCAAGACAAACTACATATCTGTAGTAGCAACGGCTTGTCGAAAGGCGGGGACTGGCGCCCTTCGCCTGGAAGCTACTCGACCTATCATCACAAAGGGTCGTACCATTAAATAAGGTCGCATGGACAACGAAGCAGTAAGACATTTACTAGAGGGAACTTTAGGGTCGTAACGCTTCACGAAGGCGGGCCAAGTTCGAGTTTCTGCTGCATTAGGCAACAGACTGGCTACCCAATCCCTAATATCCGCAATATGGCGAGGCGGACGGCCCATAGCTTCAAAATGGCAAGAAAAATAAACCTTACAATGAATACAGAAGAAAGGGGAACAAAACGAGTGACGACACTTACAAGCCTCGTTCCACCGCTCTAGAAATCTGGCGAAGTCAGAAACGACGTGCTCGGTCTTGACAAAGAAGTATTTGTGCCAAAACTTGCGGCTTGCCCGGTCATCCGTCCCGACCACCAGCCCTTTCGTGCCACGAAGCCTCAAATGCACCATGGTACCCCTGAGGAAGCCAGGCGTGAACAGGTGCAAAAGGTGGTGGACAGAAACGCTACATTCCGCCAACCCTGCATACTTGGTCAATAACAGAAGCACCTCGAGTATATGGCGAAAGTTGTGCTGGGCAAACTTGGTAGAATCTATAAAATTCTTCCGCTAAGGGGAAGAGAAGAAGAGTATAGCCGATCATAAAAGGGTATTCATAGAAAGCGCAGTACCCAGGTCTGTGGACATCCACGTAATCTCTCCCTGCCGGAACTATTTCTATATGAGCAGGAATGCCATACTTTACACGAAGGGCATCGATATGGACTTGCTTCGTCTTAGAAAATACAGGGTTCGGGGTAGGAGGGGGATCTTTGAGGAAGTCACTCCGGGATAAGGAGTGTCTCGGTAGTAACTCCTCCACCGTAGGAGGGCTGTCACCATCTTCTACCACCATATCTCTGCCGTCAGAAGGAGGCACCGTGGATGACGGGGTGGCTTCAGGAACCTCTTCACGAGAACGACGAGACCTCGTCATGATATCGTTCAAAGGAATATCAACACAAAAGGAGGAAGGAAGAAGAAGCTTCACGCGAGGAACGAAAGAAGAAACAGAAATATATGAGAGCAAATGAGAAAGAGTGAAAGAGGTTATCAAGAGAGAAATGTTTAAAGTTTTTCGGAAAATCAAATCCTTCACCTATTTATAGGGTTGGGTGGCGCCAGAATCGAGGCGGCAGGTCTCAAAGCAGCGCACAAGAATCGAAGCACCAAGCCGTCAATCCCTGCCTTGAAAACCTGTGTAATGATGACGCACGTAAAGCTGACATCACTTCTCGGTAAAGTGTACCACTCGGTGTTTTGCTGAACATGATGACCATCTCCCGTTGGCCACGTCGTAACGTTTTAACATGTCAAATTTCTCCAAAAGAATGCATGAAGTCCGCTCATCGAGGACGCATCCGGTCGTAACCCCAATGAGCGGAGGGACTAACTGTATGGGTCCAAATTTGACCGACCACGACCTACAACGAGTACGACAAACGACCGGGTATCTTCGAGTCGACGTCCCGAGGGAGACGGCCTTAGGGCAAAAGAAGAAACTGTACAACCCCTGCAGTTTCGTAAGCCCATTAGGGGACATTAAGAATATTCCTTGTATTTTATTTTTTACAAAAGAGAATAGTTTCTCTCTAGTATATAAGGGGGACAAAAACCTTGTAATAGGGCATCGATACTCTGGGAAACTTACTATTCTTGAATGAAAAGAAACTTAACAACCATCTTCTCTTTATCTATTATTATTCATTCTAGAGATTATTATCTTCAGCTAGGTTTACCCCTTCATCTTCGATTGATTTGTTCAAAAGGTTTTAACATCTTTTGAGTCAAACACCGGCGACATCTCCAACTTGGCTCATCTTCTTCTCTACATTCTTACTCCTCTTTTATTTCGTACTTTATATGCTTAGATCTCGAATTAATTATGTTTGGCTAAGATTTACCATCATTATTATCAATAATCAGTTTGACGAAAGAGTCTTATACTTTTTGCTCAAACAGTATTACAGCAAAATATAACGGGAAAATCAAAATGGAGGAAAATTAAGTAATAATGAGGTCATGCTAATAAAGATAGTAATTAAATAGTTATGAATGCATTTTACATATGAAAAGAAGCCGGTTAAAACGAACTGCGTTCTTGTTCACCCAAAATAAATTGCGATTAGTAAACAGTCAAATAGACAGCTGGAATCTATTCTCTTAATGGGGCTTCCAGCTTAATGATATTGTGGCGGAGCGGAATGACTGCATTTAAGCTGTTCTTCATCGTATGTGGCTCTTCCCAGAATGCTGATCTTGAAATGCCAGCAATGCATGCATATTTAAGTTTTCAAGTCAAGCTATGCAAAGCATCGAGCTTTACAGAGCGGGAAAATACAAATTTTTATTGCAAAATAATAAACAATAGTTGGAACGAGAAAAGCAACTTAAACTACCACACACTATAGGAAATAAAGAATATAAGAATCCACAGAAACCAACTTTGAGTGTTTACTGTGCGATGGTACGCAAACAGTTCCAGGTATATCAACTACAGAACAGCTGTTATAAACAAAATATATGAATTCCTCATACTTTAAAGATTACTATGCATCATCGTCAAATGTCACAATCTAGGAGCACTATGAAGAATATGGTCAATAAATCCTTCTCCAATTACTCAACAAAACCCTGATAAAGTGCACACAGTCGATATTGAACAACAAAAGGTTTCTTTTGGGGATTGTACACAAAACTAATCTGCATTAATGGGCTGGTGCTGCACCACTAGTTCCCAATCCCATCTTCTTCCCTAGTAGTGCAAGCTGCTCAATGAACTCACCTCCTGAAAGAATTTCTGTCGTCCCATATATGACATGCTTAACTGGCTGCTGACGACTGGCAAGCTCTTGTAAGCTTCCATACTCCACATAGTTACCACCACCTATCATGAAGACAATAGCTTCTTTAAATGGTCCTTTCAGATGACTGCTACTCATCCCGGAGCTTGATTTAGGTGCACGAGGATCAAAAACAAGATAAGAATCAATCTCGGGGTTGGGTTTCCCCTCCATTAGTGCTTCTACTGTTCTTGACAAAGCCAATTGATGATCACTGGATAATAGGTTTTTCACACCTGCAGTTACAGCACTGATTGACTGCCCATATAGTTTTTCAGCCCAATCGACGATGTTGCTCCTACTTGCAGAATTTGCTGATGCTAAAGAGACATTCAATGATTTTATCTTCTTTACATACTGAAATGCAGTGGTATCGACCTCAGACTCCCTAAGTGCTGTTTCAATCATTTCAACTTCTGATTGAGGTAAGGTTTCAGTCGAGATAAGATACATGATAGCAAACCGCAGCTTATCCACCTTAGTCCCTTTTCCCCTGAGAGCTCCAATGAGCTCACTGCGATCAATGGCACCTCTTACCATCATATCACTCTCGTTTTTGGCATATGAATCAAGGGACCTCTCCTTGATCTCGCCTAACAATACAGTAGCAATATTTGTGTGCTTATCAATGACTTGCTTTCTCTCTGTCAACTCAGGCAGGGAATTTACAGCATTCATCAAATGCTTAGTATTTCCAATCAAGTCTGTCCCATCAAACTCAGCCCCTGCGTTCCCACCAGTTCTTTTATTTACCTCCTCAACATCCTTCTTGTACTTGTTCAACTGAGACTCTATCTCCACAGCAACCTCTGGAAACTCCAATGACCAATTTGCCGTCCAGAATGGATCAGATCTGTCCAACTCATATGATTTCATCCCACCTTTCTCTCCCTGCACACTCAACCTGTTCAATCTCAAACCAAGCACATCATGAACAAGTGGTCTATACCTAAAATCATGTTGTATAGCTACCGACAACTCAAAGTTTCTATCGAATAAACACAAAATTGGCCTCTGAAATGAGCTAGTGAAATTCCCACCCTCAGAAAATAAATTGTTTTTAGCCAACAGATGGTCTCGCAATCGCTGATCCAACAGGGATGCCACCATCTCAGCAGGCCCACCACGGGGACACCTAATGATAGGGACAACAGAAAGAGTAGCCAACACACAAAATAAGCCACTGACAATCTTTTCAATGATCTCTTCAATTTCTTTATCCCCAGCAGAGGGATCATTCAGCTGAAGATAACAGTTCTTGTAGGCAAGTGAGAACAAATTATCCTCAAGCGTGACAAACTCCAAATACTGATCATGCACTTTTGAGATCCTTTCAATCGATTCAGAATTAATCGTTCCTGGATCAAAAACAAGTCGTAGGAGTTAATATTTCAAATCTTCACCCAGCACCACCCAGAAATTGTATTAACCATTAAGTGTTTCGAGTTTAAATCAATCAGTCAATCAAGCTGTTGCCTCTTCTCTCCGTAGATCCGTGCCCCCTTTATACAGTTGTATGCAAAATTATCTATCTAAACGAAAATTAAAGTAGATCTTTTAATCCCTTATCCACTAGGTGGAAAAATTGGACGAGCTGGGTGAATAAAACAGTATTCATTCCAATACTAGCTAGCATTTCAAGCATAAAATTCAACAAAAAGAAAAAAATTAATAATGATGAAAGGAGAAGGCGTAGGGTGCACCTGAAGCGAGATCTTCGAGCAAGGGCCTGGGTATAGAAGAGGAGAAGTTCAGATGGAAAGAATCGTAAAGAGACTTGGAGGCATCGGCAACTATACGCTGTATATTAGGATGGGTGGGTTGGACGAAATAGACAGCTGGAACATCGTGGACCGGTTTGCGATCCTTGTCAATGAGGAAGTAGAGGGTGACGCCGTGTTTCCGGAGGTCCTTGACGTGAATCAAAGGGGATAAAATGTCTTGGCAAAAGCGATCGTAAATCAGGATCTTGTATACCTCCTCATTCGCTGTGCCACCCGCATTCACCGGCTGGTTCAGATTTAACATCCGCGTAATGCACTCTGCAATTCCACAAAAGTGTATAAAATTCCAAATTATTAGATTCATAAAAAATAAGTGTGGAGAGAGCAGAAATAAATCTATACAACAGAGAGAGAGAAAATCCAGTTACCGGTTTGCTTTTGACGAAGATTTAGCGCCATAATTTGTCAAGCTTCAAACGAATTATCAGTTTACTTGTCAGTTCTCTGACAAAGAGGAAGACTATGGGGACGAGGACGATGGTGTTTTGGGGTTTGTAGACGATGGATGAGATCTCGTAGCTTGTTCCTTGTGCCTAACTAGCTGTACTCTCTCTCTCTCTCTCTCTGCTTAATCTTTCCGGGTCACTACAACCGCAAAAAAAATGGACTGACCCGGATCCGGCTACCTGCTTAATGAATAAAGGCGACTCGTTGTTCATTGTGCCTAATATATTGTACCTTTATTCTTCCTTAAAATAGCACAGTCTAGTTGGTTTTCAGACTTGTACTCCCTCTGTTCCAATCTATGTGAACATGTTTGACTGGTCACGAAATTTAAGAAAAAATGAAGACTTTTTGAATTTGTGGTCTTACACCAAGTCAAAAAGGAGTCCAGAATATTTGTGTGGTTATAAAAACTTCTCATTAAGGATAGAATTAGAAGCTTAAACTAAATTGTTTCTAAATTTAGAAAGGGGCCATTCTTTTTGAAACAGACCAAAAAGGAAATAAGTTCACATAAACTGGAACAGAGGGAGTAATTAAAAATAGTCTATTAAAAAATAGTTACTACTTTGGTGCAACATGAAAAATTTCAGCATAATAAACTGGAGATTGATGCACCTGTGTATGAACTTCCAGCATATTATGCTGGAACTCCAGTATATTATGCTGAAACTCCAGCATATTATGCTGGAAATTCACATGTAAAATATTCGAACTCCAGTATATTATGCTGAAATATTTTTAAATTTTGAACAATGTTTTCATTCAAATTTATCCTTACATAAAAAGTAGCTAAATTCGTTACTTTTAAAACTGTGGCTATTTTTTAATTACCAATTGTAAGTATGGCTATTTTTCAATTTGCCCTTTATTTTTCAATTGTAAACTGAGGTTGTGAGTTCGAGTCTCCCCAAGAGCAAGGTGGGAAGTTTTTGGAGGGAAGGATACCGGGGGTCTATTTGGAAACAGACTTTTTACCTCAGGGCAAGGGTAAGGTCTGCGTACACACTACCCTTCTCAGACCCCACTAAGTGGGATTATACTGGGTTGTTGTTGTTGTTCTTCGGTCACTACAGTCAAAAATTAAATAAAAAAGTAAAACGACGTCGTGGAGCAGCCTATAACTACCGCCCCGGATTGGCTGACATGCGTAGCGAATAAAGGAACAGCACAGAAGAGTGGAGAGTTAAAGAATGGCAGAAGGCGGCGTTAGGTTTGTGGGGAACAGATATTGGGTGCTGAGGCATGGCAAAAGCATTCCCAACGAAATGGGCCTCATTGTTTCCTCCATGGTCCGTCCATTTCTTTTTTCTCTACTTCATTATATGCTAAAACAACTTTTCACTTCCTGTGTTATTTCGCTCCTGATACTATTCTGTAATGTTTATCTGTCAGTTAATCGGCTCCAAAATCAAAATTTTAATTTGGGTTAATTCTCTTTACTGGAGTATGATGAAGCTATCCACCTTATTAGGAGGATGGTGGAACAATACAGGATAAGAAGAAGAATCTCCACATGGTGTTTATCGATCTAGAGAAAGCGTACGACAAGGTTCCTAGGGAGGTCTTATGGAGATGCTTAGAGGCTAAAGGGGTCCCGGTTGCCTACATTAGGGCGATTAAGGACATGTATGATGGAGCTAAGACTCGGGTTAGGACAGCAGGAGGCGATTCCGATTATTTTCCGGTTATTACGGGGTTGCACCAAGGGTCTGCGTTCAGCCCTTTCCTATTTGCCCTGGTGATGGATGCTATAACGCATCATATTCAAGGGGAGGTGCCATGGTGCATGCTATTTGCTGATGACATAGTCCTAATCGACGAGACACGATGCGGCGTCAGCGAGAGGTTAGAGGTTTGAAGATATGCCCTTGAGTCCAAAGGTTTCAGGTCGAGCAGGACGAAGACGGAATACCTTGAGTGTGCAAATTTGGGGCAGAGCCGACGGAAGCGGGAGTGGAAGTGAGGCTTGATTCTCAAGTCATCCCTAAGAGGGGTAGTTTCAAGTACCTGGGGTCGTTTATTCAGGGGTCCGGGGAGATCGACGAGGATGTCACACACCGTATAGGGGTGGGGTGGATGAAATGGAGGTTAGCGACGGGAGTCCTGTGTGACAAGAAAGTGCCACTGTTACTGAAAGGTAAATTTTATAGGGCAGTGGTTAGGCCTGCTATGTTGTATGGGACCGAGTGTTGGCCGGTGAAGATCTCACACATCCAGAGGATGAAAGTTGCAGAGATGAGGATGTTGAGGTGGATGTGCGGGCATATAAGGAAGGATAAGATTAGAAATGTAGATATTCGAGAGAAGGTGGGTGTGGCCCCCATGGAGGACAAGATGCGGGAAGCAAGACTCAGATGGTTCGGGCACATTCAGAGGAGGAACACTGATGCACCGGTGAGAAGGTGTGAGCGACTGGCTGTGGTGGGTACGGGGAGAGGTAGAGGGAGACCTAAGAAGTATTGGGGAGAGGTGATCAGGCAGAATATGGCGCGACTTAGGGTTACTGAAGACATAGCCCTTAACAGAGAATTATGGAGATCGAGCATTAAGGTTGTAGGTTAGGGGAAATTGTGATTTCTTTTTACAGCGCACTAGAGTGAGACTAGCCAGTTAGGAATTAGTCTTAGGATGTTATTGATCAGCTACAGATGATGGGCTTTATCTGCTGTTTATTAGTATACCTTACATCTTTGTCGTATTTCCTATATCTCTTATATTGCTGTTATTTTGTTATTTTATGGTATTTATGTTATGTTATGGATTTTATGGTATTGTATGTTATTTTATTATGAGTCTATTGATAGTACTAATATAATGTCTCTTGTTGCCTTCTTGAGCCGAGGGACTCCTGGAAACAGCCTCTCTGCCCCTCGGGGTAGAGGTAAGGTCTGCGTACATATTACCCTCCTCAGACCCCACTTGTGGGATTACACTGGGTTGTTGTTGTTGTCTCTTTACTGGAGTATTTTCTTTAATAATGTTTTTTTTTTACAGTTAACAGTACATTTTAGCTAGTGTTCTAAAGGACTGAGCTTGCTTTCTGCTTGTCTTTTTTGAATTTTCCTTATAAAGTAACCAACTTTGACTAAATGCCATTGCACATTTGACATTCATTTGGTAGTCCACGGTTTGCCCTAACAACTGGTAAAGTTTGCAGCTTTTGAATACATAATTAAAAAAAGGCAACCTCCTCTCTGGCTATGTTCCACTAACCCATCAACACAATGATCTTCCTCTTCCTGCCCCGTGGCGCTCTACTTAGATTGGAATACTTGCTTTAAGTAATTGACACATTGTACAGCGTGATCGCATTAATCACTTAGTTCCAAATAATAAGACAGACAGACCTTCTTTCTATTATTAACACAGTTCAATCAACTAACGTTAATTGGGATAGATGGTTTACCTAGCAGCGGGAATGCACAGACCTTTAAAAGTCGGAACAATACAACATTTGACTGTTTGAGAGTTGGCTGAAATGATATTTTTTCCCTTGTTACTATATTTTTCTTGGCAATCTCAGTTACTGAAAAGAGCCATTATCTTTACAGGAAAATGGAGAACTTGAACAATATAAGTTGGCTCCTGAAGGAATCAAACAGGCTGAATTGGCTGGAGAGTCATTCCTAAAGGTTGGTATTCCCATTGAATTCTCAATTTTTGGTTTCCCAGAGTAGTCCGCGGCAGACATTTCATGATTCAGATGTTCCACCTATATAGGTATGGAGTTACGTGCACCATAATTGCTGTCGGCCATTGCTTTCCCTAGTTATTTTTAAACATTTGACTATGTATGGTGTTGTATGTCCTGGAATCCTATCACCTACCTCTTTTTGATGCTCAGAAACTTATTATATTCCAGTGAAATCCCTTGGGATTTTACAATGCCTCTTTTCTAAAAAGTTTGGATGCTAGATCCATGTCCATTTCTCATTATAAGAACAATCATTGCGATGTCATAGTTTTGAAGTTAGCAACACTTCCTCATCCAAGGTAGACAGTATAATGAGGATAAGGAGATGGTGACATGTTAAACAACCGGAAACTCAGGTCACATGTGAACAATCTGTTTCTTTTTCAGTGTCAAATCTTGGATAAAGTTGGAGGGTATGTAGTGGTTGAAAGAAAAATCTAAGCAACTCAGAGAAAGTGAACTAGTATTACCAAGCAAGTGCTCATTACAAGTAAATGATGAGTTCTATCTTCAGCGATAACATGATTCACATAAGCAAAAGAAAAAGTTTTAACCAAAACTGTCTAAGTAGAAGAGCGGGAAGAGAAAAGTGTTTTCTGAAAGGACCATGTATGGGCTTCTATCCCCTTAAACATTATCATGTGGAGGCTCACCTTTTGTCAAACTAAATGCTTTCTCCAGTTGTGAAATCATGTTTCCCTAGAGGCTTAGAGTTGAAACAGCCAGTTTATCTCCATACTTCATACTTTATGGCAACTAACAGAGTCTCCTGGTGATTAGCACCTTGATGTATGTATTTCTGTTTGCTGCCCTTCAGTTGAAGACAGGTAAAGACAGACTGTCGTATCGTTCCTGATTCTGAGTAATTACATATTAGTTACTTTTTTTGAGCTAAAAAGGGTCTATCCCTTCTCTATAAGCTTAGTTCAATGGTATTTACAGGCAATCTGTTTTCTGATAACAGGCACTGAAAGAAGATGAAGTACCACTTGAAAATGTTCGAATCTGCTACTCTCCCTTCTCGAGGACCACTCATACTGCACAAGTGGTTGCATCAGTTCTAGATATTTCTTTTGAAGGACCGCAATGTATGGTAAGTCTTATCCGTCCGTCACAGGGACATATAGGCCCTCTTGTAACCTCTTTTTGTATATTTTTATTATTTGCTTATTTTGTTGCAAGGTTGTATTCAAGTAATTTTTGGCTTATTAATAAGTTAAAAAAAGGTTTTGTAAGTGTTATCATGGTACTTTTGTTTGCAGAGGTACTTGAGATCTAAGTTGCTCCGACATGGCAGTTTAAGTGCCGCACCCGTGTCGACACGACACTAGTATGGGTGTGAGTATAGGATCCGTACTGGATTTGTTCAAACAATTTTGGGTACTTTGACCACGATGGAAGGAAAAATTCGAGACGAGATACCATTTGATTCCCAAAATCAAAACCAAAACTAGGGTAAATTTGAAGAAAATAGCATACCTTATTTAGGAAATCAACCTTTTACTTATCTACAGCTTGAGAATAAAAAAAGAAATCCAAACTTTACAAGCTATGCGTAAGTATTCCACAAAATTTCTCATAATTTAGAGATATTTTTATATTTTTATTTTTCTGAATTAATTTTAGCCGGATCCCCGCACCCGTATTCATATTAGGATTCGTATCGCCGAATCATAGAATTAACATCTCGAAAGATCCGCACCCGTGTCAGACACCCGCACCCTTGTCCGAGCAACTTAGCTTGAGATAATCAATTCATAAAGCTCTGATCACTGTTATTAGAACCCATGACATGAATAGAGAGTAAAAGTAGCAAGGACCTATAGCAACAAAGTCATTTCATAGGCTGAGATCTCGTTTTGTCCTATTGATATAAGCCATTCAGTTGAGAAATGCTCATGTAAATAACAAGGATGAACTGTTTGGTCTATATCTCTTTTTCGGGCAATATCTCTTTTTCACCTGGCATCGTGTCTTCCTTAAATGCACATTTCTAGATTTATATGCTTAAACTGAATTGCTATGTACTTTTCCTTCTGGTGATGAATTTGATTTAGCTGCATAACTTTTCATCTTTTATATCATTTTTTGCCTGATGCCCTCGATCCAATCAACACTAAGCCTAAAAAGCTTTTTGAGTGTTACATAAGGTAAAGCTCCATTTCCTTTTCCCCCCTGCCTTTCCTGTCACGGTGAGATGCTTCTAAGCTAAAACAATTGATCGATTGGTATGTTATGATTTTGGCTTTAAGACGAGTAGATTCTGCTGATAAGCTCTGAGTTCAGACAATTTTGTTATTACAGGTTCTAGAAGATCTTCGGGAGCGTTTCTTTGGTCCTTCATATGAACTTAAGTCTCATGATAAAGTGAGTTGTTATTTGTTCTCTGCATTTCAAAATCAAGTGGATCCTCAACATTTATAAGCATTTGCACTTGGTTTGTGTCTCTCAGACTGATTAATTATTTCTGATTTCAGTATCCAGATATATGGGCTCTAGATGAGAAGGATCCATTCATGCAGCCTGAAGGGGGAGAAAGTGTTGCAGATGTAGTGTCTAGACTCACAAGTGCATTGATTAACATGGAGTCACAATTTCGAGGGTAATGTTGTGCTTTTAACTCCAACATTAATCATGTAGAGTAGGAAGTTTTTTAGTGCTAATGAGGTTTGCTTATTCTTTTTAACAAGTGAAGGAAATTTTGCATGGCAATAGAATCACAGTTCATGCTTAAATTCAAGATTCTCCTAGTGTTTCACATATTCCCGCTAATGAGGAGACCATAAGCCTTTAATTGCATTTTCATGATATCTGATGGACTTATAAATAACGATTGTGGTCTGGAACACTGCAATTGCAGATGCACAGTGTTGGTGGTCAGCCATGGCGACCCTCTGCAAATTTTCCAGACGGTACTAAATGCAGCTACGGATTACAAAGGATCCTGTGAAAATGACTTGACATCAAGAATACAAGCAGTCAAAATCCCTTCTGTTCTGTCGCAGCACCGGAGGTTTGCTCTACAAACAGGAGAATTGCGCTCAGTAGTATAATCCACAGCTTGAACTGCACATTCTGAAACATTCTGTCAGCTCATGCTGTTATTCTTCTCTATACATTCTGAATCCCCTTTCTAATTTATCTGTGTCTAGGGATAATAATTTGGTTTTAACAAATATTTGAAACTAATGAAGTATAAATCGAATAAGGAACAGCAGAATATTCAGTTTGCAATCTCCTTTGCTAGGGAGGTGAGCTGCTGTATGAGTACATCCACTGGAGAGCTTTTCTAATGGGCTTCTGGAATCTTTTTGGTTCTCCCCACCCCATCCCGGAAGAGTACCGAGTCAATATGAGGGGAAATTTATACTTTTAACCTCTTAGTTCTATGTTAGCCTATGGATGATAAACATGTTAAGAAAGAAGTCAGAAGATCTACTTCTCCATTCAAGATTTATACTCCCAACTCTTGGCCAGATGACCTTTATGTATTAAACCAATTGCTTCCTGTTCCAATAATGGCTTTTCGTCCTTAATGATTGTGAAAGTTAGGGTGATAAAGATGGAGATTAAGGCAGAACAGACTCTTCCATGTCTTATTTGCCACAATCTTACCGGATTAGAGGCTAATGTTCAGGTTATTGCCAACTGATCCTTGAAGTTATACACACACACACACACACAGAGGGAGGGAGGGACTTTGTGTCCAAAATAAAAATGGTTAGGCGCTTATATAGCGCTGTTTAAATTTCTCTACCTGAAATGCCATGTTTTGCTACCAAAGAATCACTTGAATCACCTATTCTCTATTTACATGCTAGAGTCATGCTTCAAAATACTGGACGCTGTTTCCGTACGAGAGCAAATCGGCAATTACAGCAAATCTGCTTTGCTTTTCCCGATATGCAGAAACGTTAGGTTAGATGATTTATTGACTATATTAAATTCATCATCAGTAATACTATGTCTGATTGCGATTTTTATCTCTGTATTTATAATCCTTGCATTACTTACTATTCAACAACCAATTAACTATGTTAAATTCAATGCAAAATAGCAAGAGATTTTTCAGCAACACATGTATTAGATTACCAGATGCCCCTTGAAACTATTACTTGTTTAGTTAATCATCTTTAATTATGTTTCTTTTGCTTTTTGAAAGTGTTTATATTATTGATTCTATAATCACTAAAGAATCTTAACAAAGAAAAACAAAGGAGAAATGCATGACTTGTTAACTAACTTTTATTTTTTGCCTCATATTATAGTATAACTCACTGTAATTTTCATCTTAAAAATATTGCTTGTTTGACATAATTAAAAATGGATGATTCTAAATATTATTTTATTCACACAACAATAAAACCAACAAGTTTGATAAAGCAATTAATATGCGCTAAGGTACAAGTTTTAAATGTACATTGTATATCAATCCATGCATTACAATCCTGGTATAACTTGTGCACGAACAAAAAGAATCCTTGGTACTCCAACCATACACCGGTTGCTCTAGCCTCTTCTTAAATCATTGCATTTTACAGAAAATCGCACAAAGCACCTTACTTTCAAGTCACCAATGCTAATAGCAGTGAGGCTAAGGTCATACTCAGCAACTGGAAACTGGATAGTGAGATGACGGCCTTAGATTCTACAATTAGCAGCTGCAAATAAGAAAAGAGGAAGGGAAAAAGACTGCTGTTATAAAACGAAGCATGCTACATTGTATTCATAAAGCAAACAAAAAATCTTGACCAAAAATGGATGACAACCACTGATACCGGTGGGATAGATGCAAACAGGGTTATATAAGTCTTATATTTATTTCAATAATCTCACCCCATAACTAAAGGTAAATGTTGAACATTTCCCAAATCCCTAAAGGAATCATTTCCGTTCTATTGTTCCTTCTCCTTGCATGCCAACGGGAAAAGAGCATCATACATATCCGTCAAGGATAGGGATGGTGATTAACTCCATTGGCATGCGAGACAAGCGTAACAGTTTGGAAGGGCAGACATCCAGATAACTACGGTCATCCGAATGAATAACACAATCTTCAGTAACAAGTGAGCTTTACCATTTTGTGGCTTCAAGCAGACTATTAAATGGGAAGACTTCCAGCACAGACAATAAGTGGGGTTTATGGGTTCACCACTCAGAGGATGAGTAAATGCTACCAGAAGCCACCTTTTCTGAAGAACCTCTGAATGGACTTTCGATGGGAATCCCTCCCATCTCTACTACAGATACCAATTGGCGGAATGCAAAATGAAAGGCAGTATCACAAAGACAAGAAGATAATGAAATGACTCACTGCAGTAGATAAATTGGTTGATATCAAGAGTCACTCGGCCTTGCTTGCCTGTATCAAATGAATCAAAAAGGTTCCTGCAAAGATCAAGAATATTATTAAAGTTTTTGCTAAGAAGTTCAAACTGAACTAACATCTGAGAACTATTGGAATTGCAGCTCCACTGAATCACATTTAGCCTCATCAAGACCTACAAATCTTTGTAGTTGAAATGAATGTCTATCTCAAACACTAATTGACGTGTCTTAACCAAGAATCCTTCCTAAGTTCTAAGGAAGATGTCAGTGACTCAATTTCAAAGTGCCAGATATAAAACAAGTGGCCCTCATCATATACATCGATCATGAATATTATAAATGCAAGCGACAACCATCTCATGTAAATAAAGATCTACTCACCGTGCAGACTGTACAAAGATACAAAGAGATATGAAGTCATCAAGCCTGAATTTTCCATTCTTGTTCCTATCAAAACTCTGCAGAATTTACCCAGAAAAGGAACTATATCAGTTCAAAAGCAGAGGACCAGAAAGAACTTTTTTCACCCTCAAACCAATTAACATACAATGTATCACATGACATTCCAAATGCGTATCTTAGTTAAAATAACTAATTAACTAAATGTCATCCTGCGAGTAACCCTCCACGCGGACAACCAATTGAGTACCCGTGACTGCATGGTAATACAAAAGGTGTAGTAATGAAATCATTAAGCTGTTGTTATTTTTTCCCCTGATCAGTAAAGGCAGCGAATTAAGCTATGTTTTATCGTAGCATTTTATCATCCAGCTTTCATGAACCACAAAAAAAAGAAAAAGCAGAATAACAATTTAATAAAGTTCGTGAGTATCTGATTGCTCATTCTGACTATCTGCCACAACCTTCACCATAATCATCACAATCAGCGCTATGACTATGGTTTGCTAGCTATAGCAAGCCATTAACTATCACCTTTTCACATACCTTTTATTCTTTTAACATGTTTAGAATACCACCAGGTCATTATAAATACAAAAGAAATTTAAATTAAAAAAAAGATCCTTGGGCTTTAAGTGAAAAGCCAAGGGCAATTTCTTCTAATCCATACTGCTAGCTTCAATTAAAATATGGCAGAATACATAGTTTACCCCCCTGACCTTGAGGTCAAATCCCTGTGACACACTCCTTCAGAACAGGCAACCTTTTATACATGCAACCTTTTAAAAGTGTGTCTAAGACACACCTGCTCGGTGCTTGACCACTTTCTTCCCAGCAAGTGTAATTCACACACACCATTAATATCGTGACACGTGTCATTAACTATTAAAAGAAAAAAAGAAAATTACGTTTAAAAATCTCCATCTTCTTAAAAAAGGAAAAAAGAAATAGAAAAGCTCCCTCATCTTCTTAATCTACCCAAGACACCATTTTAGCCAAAATACATCCCTAAAAATGGCTCTAAACAACAAAAATCCCAAAGTTTCTTCTTCCTCAAATAATTTAAAAGGCGAAAACCAACAATCCAGCGTGGCTATCAGCTTTGGAACGAATTTAAAACTAGATTATGTTGACCATATGGGCAATATTTATTTGTAGGTGCTTTCTTTCTCAAAAAAAATTGTTATAATTTGGAGTTGGAAAATTCCATTTTGAATCATGTGCTCATTATTTGAAGTCTCTTCATTTAACTCCTTAATCCCTTAGCATTCGAAGCTCTTATTTTGAGCTTTTGCTACATTGACAGTGCTTGAAAATTAGAACATTGGGGATTGTGATAAAGAATTTGAAATGGGTTTCATTGAATTGGTGGTAAAGTAGTGGCTTTTTTCCTTTGTAGTTTATGGGTTTTATTTTTGAACAACGTAAATGGAAAAAAACTATGGTGTGCATAGATTGAGGTAGGTGATGTTGGCGGCAACAATGGAGGATGGCGGCGGAGCATCGATGAAGGAATGGTGAAGATGGGGGCTAAAGAATGTTTTTAAAAAATAAATTTAAGATTTTAAAAAATTTGATGAAAACAGAAGACAGATAAAAAAAAAAAAAATGAAAATAACTGGACACATGGTGTCAATTTATAGCTCCATACACAAAAAAGTTAATGCTCATTCGCTTCTATTGGGTGTAAATCACACGATACCAGGTGAGCAAAAGTGGTGTGTTTTAGACACACTTTTAAAAGGTTGCCCGTATTGAAAGAGTGTGTCATAGGGATTTGACCTCAAGGCCAGGGGGTAAACTATGTATTCTGCCATTAAAATATAGTTTAACCACATACATGTCAATAGGAACTCCATGCCTATACTTTTTTCTTCTCTTCTATGAATATGGTTTAAAAAACTAAAACGGGTAACCAAGAGTACTTGAACAATTTTAATGCTTTTTTCAAATTATGTCATTTGGTTGTCAAGACCAGTTATTTACGAACTTTTCCTTCTCTTCTATGAAATACAGTATAAACAACTAAAGGAATAACAAAAGGAACATAGAATAAATAATGCTTTTTCTGATATATGTCATTTGGTTGTCGAATTTTATTTTGACACTAACAACTTCATTAGCTTTTGTTTTGATGATGAAACAAAGATATGAGCTACAAGAGAAAATATGCAATGTAGGTAAAATGAACAGCCTTTTCAGTTTCATTGGTGCTTTGAGAATAAGATACTACATATTAGTGTAGGTCTCAAGGAAGTACATCAACCTTCTCATAACACACATTAAGTCCATTGAATGAGTATATTTCTGCATACCACTTCACAAAGAACAATAACTACTGAATCTCATAACCATAATGAATTCTATAACAATTATAATACCTCGCACACAGTGTATAATGCAGGAGAGTCGAGGTGGAATCCTATTTTTATCAACGCCTGCAAATGATGCAACAATTTCATTGATAGATTATTGTCCATTGCAAATAAGCAGGCTGTTAAAGACCATTCGGCAGCCCAAGCATTCTTTCCTCGCCATCAGAAGGTCTGAAATGTACTAATAAGCAAACACAATAAGGCAGAAGGAGTTTGAGATTAAGGAATTTCTTGCCTCGTAAACATCATCTGGGACAAGGAATCCACGACCCCTAATTCAATAACCAAAATAATATAAGGATTAACTTCCTAAAAATATATTTCAAATTCCAACCAATGACATGATGAAGTATTAGGGGACTCAAAGTGTACCATATTAACAAAAGAAAGCAAGCAACAAATGGGAATGCTTTACCAAAAAATAAATTCACCTCTCCAAGTCTGAGAACACATGTTGCACCTACAAATGATAGATTGATGGTTCATATAAATCAAACAATTGAAAACATTTGAAAGAACACAACTTAGGAAAATGAGAACCATCTATAGGAAAAGAAGAAAGACACCATTGAATTCATGCAACACTAAGGATTTCATTCTAGTGCTGCCAAGATGAGGTTGTGCAACTATTGCCAAATTCTGTGTATGAGAAAACACAGCAAGGTGCCACTCAAATCACATGCAAATTGCATACAGAAAGACCAGATAATGTTATTGAAAAAAAAACATATACAAAAATATAACTTGGGAAGAAAGCTGACCTTCAGCAGAAACTTGTTAAGTTCAACAAACTCTGGCAAACAAAGATAAGATTAATAACAGTATAAGAATCTCAACGGAACAATTATTAAGCATAAACCCAATTGCACCAAAATAAAGTAAAGGAGGGCCTAAAGTAGACTGAACAGCAGCTTAGCACTGGGGATCTAGACAATGCTTTGATATATCTCATGCCCGGAGAGTCGGAAGCAGTAGCTTCTATTAACAGTCTGTCCCTCTCTTTCTCTCTCATTATATATAAAAGTAAGAAAAAGGGAATTCTATGTTAAGGTTAAGCTAACATTTCATATATGCTCATAATGTCTTTTGAAATATCTCCTTCCTAGTCTACCTTATAAAAAAAATGGCAGCCCAGTGCACTAAGCTCTCGCTATGCGCGAGGTCCAGGGAAGGGCAGCATCTTATATTGATTTCATTTTCCTTGTAGACATTCCCACTCTCCTAGCTCAAAGCACATATGTGTTTGCTTTTCTCTTTTTCTCTTTCATTGTTACTTCGAGACGTCCAAGTTTTATAACGATCTTATTTGAGATTACATCACTGTGATTGAGAAGATTTCTATAATTAAACAAAAAGCACAAAACTCACGAAACTCTATTAATGAGAGTAGAGAGACAATCAGCAAGAGATCATCCTCACCTTCAAAACTCATAGTTCCATTCTTGTCAAAATCATACATCCTGAAAATTGATATAAAATGGAAGAAATAAAATAACAATTGGTAAAAACCTGTGTAGTAATTATTTGGATGTTATTGTCTCGTAACTTAATACAAAGATGGAAAAAGAAAACCTGATCATTTGCTGGACAACAGAGATAGGAAATTCTAAATTTCCAATTGCAAAAGCACTCTGAAAAGTAACGATCCCAAACAGGGCCGCGCAGTATAAAAGGAAGGCGTCAAGTTCAGTATCGGAATACGTAAAACAGAAGGCTTAAATCTACAAAACCAAAACAGACCTTGAGTTGAATAGCAGTGATACTGCCGATTTTCTCCGAGTCGACCCGATCGAACCACTCTCTCAGAATCGCCGAGCTTTCCATTTTCTTCTACTGCTTCCCTCCGCTCCGCAATCGTACTTCTTGCTCACCAATGTCCTTTTATTAATTGCACTTTTGATCCTTCATCTATTTGTAAATTTTAATTTACTTCCTATATAATATTTCACTATATATAGTTCTACTCCATTAAATTAAAATGATATGTGTTTTTTCACCCGTTGAAGTACTATTTAGATTGTTTTTTTATAATTATATTTGTATTGCCTTATTGCAAACTAAAAAATAAATATATTTTTAAAATTAAAATGATTCATATTCATACATTTATTGAGTTAAACAAATAAGACAATGTTTAAAAGGCGAAGGCATGAGACGATGCGTTTAACCTTACACGAAGCATATTGACCCTTGAAGTGCAAATATTTTATAAATCACTTTGGCTTATAAGTTGTTGTAAAATTTATTTATTTTATTATCTTACAAAGTGGACAATGTAAGTACTTAATAGCATAAAATATCAAAATTAAAATTACATCACATTGATTTATCAATTACAATTCATATTTATGATGATATGTAGATGATTATGATTACTATTAATACTAGGAGGGCGAGAGTAATGAAAGTATTAATGCAATTAAAATCGGTAATGGGTTAACATGTATGTTCATGCAATTATCTTAAGCTTTAAGCTTAATAAGAATTAGGTTAATTGTTGAGGGAATAAAAAACGTTCATACGTATATCGACTATTTGCACTAAAATTAGGTTAATTTACTTTAGAAGAGCATTTGTCACAAGTTGAGTTTGAGTTAGTTTCATTTTAAATTCTACGATTGATTGTAAAAATAATTGCTAAATGAAAATACTAGTTATGTCCATTTATAAGTAGCTTATTATAAAAATTAGTTAAATCATAAAATATTACTAATATTAGCCAATTAACTATTTGTAGTAAAAAAAAAAATCAAATTGTTGCTTTCTTTTGAGTGGGTATTATTAGAATAAATTGGACACATCTCAAGAAGCTTGAATCTCAGTTTTGGGATGATTTGGTGGAGTTTTGAGGTAGTTTGAATTGAAAATTCGAAGTAGAAGATGAATATGAAAAAATGATATGTGTATCACACTGTAGATCACTTGTGTATCAGATATGTATCATATTTGTATCAAATGTGTATCACATGTACATCCATGTATAACTGCGTGTGGGATATATGCGTGATACATGTTTGATACATGTGTCACAGAAGAACTTTTTGAACTCGATTTTAACTACGAATTTTGATACCAATTCAGTCCAAATCACCTCCAATCTTCCTCAAATTTTATATATTGACTTATCAATATGTTTCAATGAATCTCAACCATACCCATTGAAAAAAGTCCTTTTTTGCTTAGATTTTTGGAATCTTGTATATATATTTTTTCCTATATTTAATCACCTTATTTGCTACCTCGTCCATGAAGTTTCTTTCCCATCTTGCATCTAGTGTTGCTAATCACGCTTGAAAATATGTAAGGAGCTCTTTGTATGTGATTTTTGGAAAGAAAAAACCTTATTTCTTTGTGTTTTCAATTTTTATATGTACTTGGCGAGTTTTGGTAGGTCTATGATTAATGGCCAGAGGTTGGTAAGTGGAAATTTTTTGGGACATTTCAATCAGATTCCCAATTTGAAATATATAAAAATAAAATAAACATCTAATTCATTTGTTGGTTGGGCCTGAAAATTAGAAAATTTGGGTCTAATTGGACCACATCCCAAATGGGCCACATGAGAATTGGGCCGAAACGGGTCACAATAATAACCAATGATTCTCCTCTTAGCACACACCAGACAGGCACGATCAACAATTTGAGGGCCACTGGTTGTTTGTGCCCGCTATTCCTCCGTCGTTGTGATTACCTTCCACCTTCTGAAGAAATTGGCAGCATATCCGTGTACATATTAAGGTACTTATTTCATTTATTTTCTCAATTTATTTTTTGATATGTTAGATTATAGTTATGCAATCCAATTCTGTCGAATTGATATTTGATACTGTAAGCAATTTTATAGCTCATTATTGTTGGTTTATTGATTCATGGTATAAAGCTTCTGCTAAGTTGGATTTTAAATATATTCAAAAGAATTTCTGTATCCGCTGTTACACGGATTGCACTATACTACTATTGCTGGAGAAAGGGATCTCTGTTTTCTTTATTGAGAGTTTGGTATCACTGTATTGCATTGCTCTAAAAGAAAAAAGCTTCCTAATTTTAGCTATGAACATTGTAATTCAAAGGTGATTCTGTTGTCCAGGAAAGATTAATGAATAGGCTTACGGGAAGATCAGGTTATGACCAATTCTTCTACTTAACCCATTTTAAACTGCCCCATATTTTTTGCCATATCCATTATCTTTTCTAAGCTTAATCACCAAACGAATACGCTGAGATAGATAGAGAGAGAGAACTGCTTTTATTAGCTTAATACATTAAACTATAGTTTACAAACTTCCTCAGCTCTGTTCTCTTTTTTTAAGCTAATATACCACCACGGAGGTTACCTAGTGGCTAATTTTATTAATAAAGATTCCAAATTGAGTGCAGAACGAGTGTACACTATTACAATGAAAACAAACCATGTCTAATGAAATAATGAAACTATCTAATGTCATCTTTGAATTTATATAATATTCCAAGATGAACTCACATCGAACAAAATAATAAAATGCTCGAAAGAAATGAAGTGTCCACACTGCCAACGATTTCATTTTGTGCAAGCTGCTTTCCACCTTGAAGTATCCGAATGCCACAGAATAGAACCATTGCCCCATCATCCGCCACCATCTGCTAATGAAACTCTTCATGGTATAGAATGTCACTGTTTTCTTCCCTTCACTGCTTTGGTTCTCAACGATGGTCACTGTAGCTTATCCAAATTCAAAATGCCCTTTCTTTGGTGTCCAGCTCCACAAATGAAGGCTAAGTCTGCCAAATGACCAGCTAGCTTGTTACCTCAGCTCAGCTAGCTTGTTACCTCAGCTCTATTCTCTTGTATCAAATGACTTGGTTATTTTTCTGTAAACCTGTCATTGCTCAAATTTCCGAGACGAATCATTCTATTAGTAGTATCTGCAAAAGTGCTTCTCTAAACCATGCAGATTAAGTGGACACATTCAAACCAATTTTAGCAGAACTTATTTTATTTATCTCAGTTTAGTAAATTTTGTTGGATCCTCTTCCCTTTTGCTCTTTGTTTGGTGAAAAATGCTGAACTGGGAATATGTTCTCATCTGAGTTGCTGCTTCTTTTCAGAGCTGCAGATAATTTTCATTATGTCTTGGAATGGAACCACCTCGAATGGAACATTTTCTTCTTCTCATGTCATGCTCCATCATCTCGACGCGGTGAGCCTATGAGGTGAGACTGTGAGAGTAATATTCCCGACTCCATCACACATGAGATACATTTAGTCCATTTTCTGCATGATTTCTTTGCTTAGGACATACATATGTACTTGACAATCAAATGTAGGCATACATTGCATTTGTTCTAAATTCATTATTTATCAAGTTTCTTTTCATCCATGCAATTGTTTTATGTAAATCATGTCCTATTTATTTTTCCCTACACCACTCCTTGCTGTGAACATTTGAAATAAAATCCTACATTAATCTCGAATAGGGTCAAGATCACTGCTACCTATGAAGCCCCAACACCCTAGAGTATCTTTCTTTGGCCTCTCCTAGATGTGTAAAACTAGAATTATCTGATTATCTCCCAAGTACCACTACTTTGTTGAACAACTGCTGGGATGAATTGGTCCCTCTACAACACTGCGGCTCAAAATGGTTATCTTCTTAACTTCTGTTTTAAATTTTTCGGGTTTTCCTTATAATATTCTGAAAAGAAAATGATTTCAGTTATTAAGACACAGCTTTCCAAAAGAAAAAATTGAAAAGAACCTTTCAAAAGTTAAACACGCTCATTGAGTGTGGCAGGGTTGCTATCTACACCTAACTTGTGCTAGTTTTTATAGTTTGGGACTTGATGTTGCAAATCTGTTGGAAGTAGTTACCTTCTCTGAGATAATTCTAGAGCTGATGGATTTGTTCCACTTAAGGAGCTTATTGATTAGTATATGCTTGTTCCTTCTATTATAATCAGTGCATAAGAAAAAGTGGTTTTGAATTTATCATGGTGAAGATTGAAGAGTTGTATTCTAATGGTTGAGTATCACTTTTTTTTCCGTGAATGGTGAATGAATTATAGCAAGCCAGGGCTTTAATATTAAAAGCAAATATTTTTAAAAGAAAAGCGCAAAGAAGCAACAAGGTGCAGGGTTTGAAGCGAAAAGCAAGAAATGAAGCGCACAACTTACAGAAAATTACAAGCTACCAAACATATATGAATTTAGTACTATATAATGATCAAATTGCAATTGCAAGATTAATTTTATCATCATCCAATATACAGTAATACTGATATTAATCGAACTCTTCAAATTTGAGATTCAAAGAACCAACAACTTTGTGTTTGGATCACTTTGTGCATTATTGTTTGAAGCGCGTGAGACTCATGAAGCGATAATCCCTCGCTTCACCTTGCTCATCCTTTTAAGCGAAGAAGAGATAGACTTTTAATAACGTTGTTTAAAACACGTTAAATGTAAAACAACAACAACAAACCCAGTATAGTCCCATAAGTGGAGTGTGGGGACGGTAGATAGTACGCAAACCTTACCCCTACAGTGAAAAACACGTTAAATGTGTTTTTGCAAAAAGAAAAAAAAATGAGGTATACGTAGTAATGCTTTTTATTGTCTTCTTATAGTTATTGTCTCATTTCCAAATTGTAGATGAATTTAGAGAGTATCAGAAGAGCATATTGATTTGGAGTGGTTGCTGTTATATGATAAAGAAGACATTTTTTAACTTTTACACTTAAGATTTGTTCATATTTACTAGAAAAGGCAAGATCTATTTAATTGTCTAACATACACCTTCTCTTAGATGGGTCAACAAACAGTAGATTCAAAAACAAGTGACCACGGGAAGGCTAATACTAAATCTGGTGTACCCAAGCATGATAAACCGCTATCAGTGCCAGAAGCTGTAATGGGTACTGCAGTACAAGATTCGCAGAGCGAGAATGTGGTTGCAGCCTCCAAATCAATTGAAAGCCCACTATTTCCTGAAGCGAACAATATGGTCAATAATGTTTCTAATATAACTGGCTCCAAAAGACCTACTCCTGAATGCCTAGTGAACCCACTCAACCGATGCTCAACAAACAATTCTGGTAGCGGGCATCTTGTCTATGTTCGTAGAAGACCTGACGGAGAGTTAAGCAAGACTGCTGCTAGTAACAACCAAAGTGGTGTTACTGATTATTCACAACTGAAAAAGCTTAGTCAACATGATGAGAAAGCTCAGACCGAAATCCAGATAAAAGAAGCTAGATATTACGTTCCAGAAGTTTCATCAATGTCAAGGACTCCTTCGAGGGGCTCCTTGTCCATGAAACCTTCAGTTCCTCCGTCTACAGGAGAGTCCAACAACAATTTAGCTTCAGTTAATGTTAGCAACTATCAAGTAACTTCTACCAGCCTATTGTTGGATAATCCCAAGAAGGTTAATTTTAAGCATTGGGAAGAGCGGTATTTCCAATTGCAGAACTTATTGCACAAACTGGAGCAATCAAAGCAAGAGGATTATATCCAGAGTATGTATTCAAATTTCTTGAGGCTTGTTCACTGAATTATCTGTTTGTAGTAATCCTTCTTCTCACTCATTTGCTCAAATATAATCTCATCTAGCAGTGCTTCGTTCTCTGTCCTCTGTTGACCTAAGCAAACATGCTGTTGAACTGGAGAAGAGGTCCATCCGGCTTGCATTGGAGGAAGGTACTTTGTGATTTTGCTTTTATTGTTGCTTTATTATAGCCCTAGAGATATGTGTAATTTTACTACAGAAATTTGAATGAAAAAGTAAGTAAACCTGCAGACTCTATTGTTGTACTCTTGGATTTGCCTTGAAGTATCTTTTTCCATTTTTTGATGAGTTGGATTTTTCTGGTTGATCTTATAAGATGCATTTTGCTTCAAGAATTGACTCCTGTCCGTTTAGTATTTTACTTGGCAAGAAATGATACAGGATGGTGTTTGATATCTCGTAAAGTCTTGTGTCTGTATTTGCCTTGGTTCTAATGAAAGGGATGACCTAGAAGATAGTTATGAATTGGACTACAAGCTAATTGTGCATTTTTCTCTATAGAATCTTTTCGGGTAAGCCATTCTCACAGTCCTGGGAATGGCCTCTGACTAAGTTTTGGTAAATTTGAATCCTAAAAAGAGGATGAATGGTGCATTGTATGGATTAACATTTTGTTAGTTACTCTTGGTTTAAGTTTGGAGTGGTTATATAATATTGTTGCATTGACTGCTATATGATAGGACTAGGTGTTTGAATCCAATGCAATCAAGGTCCTTCCTTGTGGCATCTGAAAGAGAATCACGGCCACATTTGATACCGGACCTAATTTTAATTATTGTGCTTTTGACTCGTTTCCTCTCTCCCCTCTTTGTTCCAGTGTGATGGTGAATAGAAAAGGAAAAAAAAGAAAGATCGTCTCATGTTTGCAGTTTTCAACCCAGAAAAAAATTTATTAAATTGAGGATTTCCTAATCTATAGAATTTTAGCACAATTAGTCCTAAAGACCTTTTTGGTGCTGGTATTGATTCTAAATTTCACCTTCTTTTTTTTTGTTTTCTTCTTAAATTTCTCAGCGAAAGAGGTGCAACGAGTAAGAGTCTCGGATGTTTTGGGGAAATATCCAATGAACCCCAATAGCTCTGTAGCTTGACGTCCTGAACAGCTTCCGAAGGAAGGAAATGTGACTGTACTGTAAAACAGAGTTTGTACATTTTGTAACCTGATATTCACTAGTGTCGTAGTTAGAGTCTCTGTCTGGTCTTAGCCAGTTAATGTGTTGTACTATTCTTTGTTAATACTAACTTATAGTGCCTTCTAATGAGGAAATGGTAATGGCATTCCTCAGGTCCATCTACAATAGTTGAGATTGAATTCTTGTGCTTAATGTATCATGTAAATCTCTTTTTATCTATGCTTAGTTGTAGAACTTAGTCGAAAAGAAAAAGAATCTGTTGCTCAGTTGTGGACAAGATTTTGGCAGAAATTTGTTGTGGGGTTGCAATCTGTTTTCATGATGAATTTGCGAATACCTGGCCATATAATCAGCCCCAGCCAATATTGGATTGAGATGTAGTTGATTGATTGTTCTTGTGATCGTTACTGAGTTGAAACAAAAATCAGAAAAATGTTAGAAGAATAAAGAAATATATAAAATAGTAAAGAATCAGAAATATTCCGAGTCCACAATTTTCTTGTGCGTCCTTAAGGAATTTTAACCCCCTCACACGTTGCCAAGATAATGG